GAACCATATTAAAAACCATTTCTAATATGCATGTAAAACACCTGTAGTTGTAACTAAAAATATGACCCATTTCAAAAACCATCTATAAAGAGGATCTATCTAAGCTAGTCTACTTGAAAGTAACTGTTAAGGATGTTAATGAACTTAGAAGTGTGTAGTCAAAGAAAAATCCTCAAAAGTTCACAATTCATTATGAAATCACAGTACTCTTAAAAATATGATTTTTGAGCCCAAATACCTTGTTTTTGAGAACTCAAACCATGGTGGCTAGAGCAATATCCTCTAGCTATTAGATTTATTGTGTGGACTTGAGGGGGCATTATGGGGGGAAAAACTATATATCATATAACAATTATTGAACTCCTTTTTTATTTTATTTATGGATTGTTAATCATTATTTTCTTGCATTTAAAACTTCCAGGCCAACTAAGATAGGATCCACTAATACATTTAAAGTCTTTGTAAGTAACCAAAGAGAACAATTGAGAACCCTACTCTCTTGATACCCTACCCCTTGGGTTGAATTATAGCTCTCAAATTTTATTTATGCCGCAAGGAAGCATGATGAATTGTAAGCAACCAAAGAGAATAACTCAAAAGATAATTTATAAATGTTCAAATATAAAGGGAAAGGGCCCATAAACAAAAGTGCACCCTTTTTTTTAATTGGTTAAGGGTTTTAGAATAATTGAGGTTAAGTGTCTTTGAGTTTGAATAATACTTAGCTGGGTGACATCCGGGAAGTCCAAATTCAGGAGCTTACAATCTCTATTCTTACTCTAATAACGATCATTTTTACTAGTAGTATCCACCACCACCTTTTATTTATATATAATAAATAATACCATCATTTTTGGTTTTGACTTTGAATATATCAATCTGTTCTATAGTAAACCTTTTATCTAGATCCCAAGATAGCAAACCCTACAACAAATCTACTATATCCTTCTTTTCAATAATTTTATATTAGTCTCTCTCAAAAAACTTTTTCATTTTATCCACCACCTTCATTCTCATCCCAGCTCATATCAAGATTTCTATGGACTGCAAAAGGGTTCCTTACAAATAGAACTCCAACTCCCCACATGTCCACACCTTTCTCAATCTTCTTAATCTTCTTAGAAATAACTTTTGAAGCCCTAAAACCTTTGGTGCCTCCTCAAGCAAGAAAATCTCCTATCTTTACCATAAAGTTGCTATGAACTTAAGGTGGATGTCCTATACAAATTCTCACTTTTGCAAACTTGCCAAGCCCACTAAATTGGAATATGATTTCCTTGATTGTTAGAACCTAATGAAAAATTACCATGCTAACGCAGAGTAGATTGCCACCCACACCCCCAAGCCCTCTGTGCCACTGCTCATAGCTGTGAGCACACCATAACCCCCAAAAGCCCTTTGATTAGTTGTGAATTAATTTCTGTAAAATAAACTTACTAAACTTAAATTAGTCATACTTTAAGCTATGTGAATTAACATTTTATAACAATCCTCCCTCCAACCAAAGTCCTTATATGCAAGGACTACTTAGTGATTAATAAACTTGTGGTAATAACCAGCTATTCCCAAGAAACTCCTCAACTCAACAACATTTATTAGAGTCAGCTATTCCTCAATGATAGCAATCTTTTGTGGATAAATCTTGACTTTATCAGTAAAGACAATATGGTCTAAATACTCACATTCAAATTGCACAAACTTGTATTTACTCTTCTTAGCATAAAGTTTATGCTTGCATAACAATTCCAACACTTTACACAAGTGGTCTATGCTTAATCATATTCTTACTAAAAATAAGAATATCATCAAGGAAGATCTCCACAAAGTCATGCAAATACTCCCTAAACATGGGTCATGAGCCATATAAAAGTTGCTAGTCACCATAAATTCAAAATGCCTAAAACTCATAGAGAAAGATGATTTTGCAATATCTATATCATTTAGAGCAATTTGATGATAACCACTTTGCAAGTTGATATTGGTGAAAACTATGGTTTCCCCAAGTCTATCCAAGATATCATCTATGCATGGCATCAACATTTTATCCTTGACTGTCTTTTTATTTGAAGTATGGTAATTGATACACATTCGTATTGAGTTGTCTTTCTTTTTAACAAGCAAGACCAGTGCTCCAAATGGAGACTTGTTTGGCTGAATAAAGCTGTACTCAAGCAACTCAGTCACTTGACACTTAGTATGATTTAGCCGAAATGGTCATTAATAGATTGGCTTGCCTAGTTCTAGCACAATTTCATGCTCAACTCCACACAAAGGTGGTAGGCCATGTGGTTGCTCAGCTGGGAACATGTCCTTGAACTCCTTGAAGTTCCTCCACTACTGCTAATTCTCCACGCAAAAACTTTGATGTATCCAACTCTCAGATATACATCAAAAAGAGCTCATTCTCTTTATTGCACATTCAAAGACATTGCCAATATCAACTTGGTTAAGCTTGGAATGTTGCTTCCAAACCAAATATCATGTACACTACCATACTCAAGCTTCACATATCTAAGGCTCCACTTAATCTCGGGATCAACAAGCATGTGCCATCACATGCCAAGGATCATGTCCACATGACATAAATCCGCAAGGAAGAAATCTTCCACCATGGTGATCTTGCCAACTTTCACTAATAGGTTATGCACCACACCATTCCACTGCTGGTTCTTGGTGGCAGCTCCAAAAATTCTAAGGAATCACTTTAGTCACTAGCAGCTTGTACTCCTTGACCAGCTTTGCTAAAACAAAATTGTCAAAACTGCCATTGTCCAATAGAATGTATATGAACTATTTCCCATCAATCCCTCAATGAGATTTATCATCACTTCAAATCCTATTGAGTGTATGGGCAATCATGAAGATATATTTCTTGTCTGGATTCTCCTTATATTGCATTTCATAGACTTTCCTACTCAAAGCTCTAGCATTCGTATTGAAAGGCTTGTTCTTCTTTTTCAACAGAGGATAATCTACCTTCTAATGGCCTTCCTCACCACACTTCTGGCAATGATTATGCATTTTCTTGGTAATTTGAGGCTTCTTGCTATTGCCTTGACCACCATTACCACTGCCACCTTCCACATGAGACATCAAACCCCCACTACCACCACTACTCTCAGGAGGGGCTCCTCCCATGTTTGGCACCCTTGTCCTGAGGACATGGCTCCCTCATCCACCAAGTTCCAAGCTTGTTCAAAAAGCTCCTCCAAAGACTTTGTTGCCTTGGAAGTTTTTAAGTGATCTCGCATCTCTTTGTTCATCTATAAAGTAGTCTTTCTAAACCTTCTCAGTGTAGTTGTTAGGCACATGACTCAGTAACATCTCAAACTTCTTGATGTACTTTTCCAGGCATAAATCGTCTTGCTTCAGTTACCAAAGCTTGCATCATGCATGAAAAGCATCATAGTGATGAGCAAATTCCTATTTGAAAGCTTCCTCAAATTCAATCAGCAACACCAAAGGTCCCTTGCCAGCAATGGTACATTGGTTCAAAAGGCAACTCCACCACTTTGTAGCCCAGCCTTTAAGTGCCACCTCTACGAGGATCAGTGCATCCTCATTCGGCAATCCTTGAATGTGAATCAGTTTCAAGGTCTTCCACAACCAGCTGAGCGCCTCATCCATAAGGACATTCAAACTCAAGAATCTGAGCTTGATCTATGACACAACTCCTGCCACCTCAAGAATTCTCTATCTTCTTGATACGCTCATACATATCTGCCAAAGATCCATGCATATCAACTTCAAGGGTCTGGATATTGCTATTGAGGGCTTGTAATTCCAACACCACCTCATCCATCATCCAAGCCTCCACAGATGATTGATTAACAACTTCCTCCACATAATCCATAGTAGCAAACTCCTCTAATACCAATTGTTAAAACCTAATAAAGAATTACCATGCTTACGTAGAGCAGATCACTAACCAGCCACCCCCTCTGCACCACTGCTCACAGCTGTGAGCATGCTCCACTTCCACTGTATCCCCCAAAAGCCCTTGATTAGTTGTGAACTAATCTCTATAAAATAAACTGACTAAACTTAACTTAGTCATAGATGGATTAACATTAATCCCAGGATTATAATATTCAGAGCTTGTACCCTTCTTGAAATAAAAGCCCCTAAAATCATAGAGGTGCTCTAGTCTCCATCTTCCATTTTGAAAACTCTCACAGTGTTCTCATGCTTGTAGTACCTCTTGTGCTTAGGGTCTAACAATACTAATCTTCTGCCATCGCAGTACCTCATGAGCCCAAACTATGTTTAAATTAAAATATTTTAGTTTATTATAAAGAAATGCTTACTTTCAAATGCATCTTCAGTTAAGGAAAAGGTTTTAAAACCTTTTGACTATATAAAGGTGTTTTTAACTACACAGAGTCACTATAAACAAAACCAAATGATAATAAGCCTCAAATGGTACATGCACTTAACTAAGATCAAATGAAAGTTTTAAAGATCAACAGAAGCGAATCTAAAAAGCTTGTACTATGGAAAGGCTAGAAACAGTCTATGCATGGTTTGATTTACATGACATGGTAGATTCTAAGATTCTTTCATATCTATGGGAGAATGATGAGACAGACAAGTCTAGAAGCTTCACTAGCGAAGCATGGAGGTGGCAGAAGTCTACAGAAATAGTATAGAAGATTTAGTGATGGCAAGAATTATTGTGGGAAATCAAAATCTTGATAGGAAGGAATAAGAAATTTTGAGAGCTTGGCACAATTTATCACAAGGCATGGCAGGAAATGTGGCAGAAACATGCAAAACAAACGTAAGTTAGTCAAAGATGGTGGGCATCATTACAGAGGCTTGAGGATAAGAATAGAGCAATCCGGCCAGGCCTGGACATAAATAGATCCATAAATAGACCAAACAGTATATTGTTTTTGTTTCCTTCCCATTTGTTGTGTTGCATTTATTTTGTTCCAGGCGGCTAAACCAGTGTCATATCCCACATATATTATCCTTTGCTCAAAGCATTAGAAGCAGCAATGGAGCTCCTCCAGCTAGTACTAGTAGGCTTACTTTCGCTCGTTCTCTACAAATTGGTGGGCATTCTTCTCTTTAAGAACAATGGCAGCAGACCCCCTTCCCCAGGATTTTGTGTTCCAATCTTGGGTCATTTGCCTCTCCTCGGCAATCTCCCTCACATCTCCCTTCTTAATCTCTCCAGGAAGTTTGGAGGACTCATGCACCTCAAGCTCGGGCAAGTTGACACACTGGTCATCTCTTGCCCGGACGCCGCAAGAGAGCTTCTCAAGTTCCAAGACATCGCAACTTCTTCCAGGCCCGCGATCTCTTCCGCGAGATACTTTGGCTATGGAGGTGCCGGATTGGCCTGGGCGCCTTATGGGGAGCACTGGAGGAGCATCCGGAAGCTGTGCACTCTGGAGCTCCTCACGGCCAAGCGTGTCGAGTTCTTCCAGCCCATTCGCAAACAGGAGACCAGGATCTTCCTCCGCGAGCTTCTGGCGATGGCGGAGGAGGGCCGGGAGGTCGATTTGTCAACGATGATCAAGGATGTTACGTTCAACACCATCGCCAAGATGGTGATGAGCAAGAGCTACTCGGCCGGGAGCGCGACGAGCAAGGAAGAGATGGAGGAGGCCTTGTTCTTCAACCGGGCAATCACTCGCGCGTTTGAGCTCGGTGGTAGCATGCACATTGGTGATTTTGTTCCTTGGCTGGGATGGATGGACACGCAGGTTGCAAAGATCGAGGAAGTCCAGCACAGGATCGACCTGTTCTTGCAAAAGGAGATTGACACTCATCGCAAGAACTTTGGTGGCCAGCCGAAGGACTTTATCGACTTGATGATGTCCACGGGGGAGTTGACGGACGCTTCGCTTAAGGCAGTTTCGCTGGTACGTTGTAGTAAAGCTGTATGAAAATCTTTCTATGGACGGGAAAGTTGACGTGAAACTTTGCTGTGTGTTTAAGGACATGATCGCGGCTGGAACGGACACTTCGGCTGTTCTGATAGAGTGGGCGATGGCGGAGCTAATCAAGAACCCAGAATTCATGGACAAGGCTCGCAAGGAACTCAAGCAAGTGATTGGCGATGGAAAGCTCATGGAAGACGAGGATATTTCCAGGCTCGAGTTCTTGCAAGCAATCGTCAAAGAGACTTTCCGGCTCCATCCGCCAGTTCCACTCTTGCTCCCTCATGAATCGATCGAGAGTTTTAGAGCTGGAGGATACACGTTCCCTGCCAGAACAAGGATCTTGATCAATGCCTACGCGATCGGGCGTGACAAATCCACATGGAGGGATGCATCCAGGTTTGATCCGGATAGATTTCTGGGGAGCTGTGTGGATGTCAAGGGCCAGCACTTTGAGCTCTTGCCATTTGGAGCCGGGAGGAGGGGTTGCCCGGGGATTCATCTCGGTTTGACCACCGTTTACTACATTCTGGGCAATTTGGTTCATGCGTTTGACTGGATATGTCCGAGGTGTTTGGTTTGACCGTGCCCAGGGCTTGTCCGCTCAAAGTTTTTCCGGTTGCAAGACCACCAACAAAAGCACTCAACATACATTAATTCCTAAAAATGTCAGAAATATAAAGATTATTCACTAAAAACCCTAAGCAAAACTTTAATTAATATCATTAAGTTCACTGGATCAATTGATTAAATTAACTCACTTTACTTTTTAATGCATATTCTTCTCATTTTACTTTGATTAACTAATGTCCAAAACAACTATGTAATTCTCCAAAATCAAATTTTCGGTATATAGTTCCACCTTACCGATTTGCTCTCCTAACTTTGCTCCACATGCGCTTTGATTTTTTAGGGCGACCAAGTCGATCGATCACCCACCAATGCATGCCCTGAAAATGCCATGGTTCCGCCTTCTAGGCCTCGTCCTCTCGCTCACTCTCGCCTTGCACTTCCTCCTCAAAGCCCAGCAATCGCCCAATCCATTCTTCTCCAGCTTCATCCTCTTAAATCACACGCTTCCTCCTCGCAGCAGCGACGAGAACGAGCAAGGCCTCCTCCCAGAAGTGTGGAAGCAAAAGGATGATCGCGGCCGCCAGTGCCTCAGCCGGTTCCAATACCAGTCGTATCGCCGCCACCCCTCCAGCCCCTCCCGCCCGTCCGATAGCCTCATCCAACGGCTCCGGGAGTACGAGGAGCTCCACGCTCGCTGCGCTGGAGAGGCCGACAAGTCACCACCGTCGCCGTCGGATCCCCCGTGCCAGTTCGTCGTGGCCGTCGGATACATGGGCCTCGGCAACAAGATGATCTCGCTCGTCGCGACCTTCATCTACGCGCTGCTCACGAACCGAGTTCTTCTCATCGCCGCCGCCGAAAACATGGATCGCCTCTTCTGCGAGCCGTTTCCTCAAAGTTCCTGGCTCCTCCCAAAGTCGAAGATGGATCTCCTGTACTCACTGAATGATTCTTTCCGGTTTGGCAGCGTTGTCAAGGCGTTTGGATCCGGAGAGTGCAACACCAGCGGCGTCAAGTACCCCGGAACCGTGCTCGTCCGGATCACCCACGAGTATGATCGCGACGACACCAAGTTCTTCTGCGAGGAGCAGCAGGACGTGATCCGGAGCCAAGTTCCCTGGGTGTTTGTCCGATCGAACGTCTTCTACGTCCCCAGCCTCTACTACGTTCCATCGTTCAAGTCGGAGATGGAGCGGCTCTTCCCCGGCGAGGACGCCATCTTTCATCATGCCACGAGGTACTTGCTCCACCCCTCAAACTCCGTCTGGAAGAGGACCACCCGGTTCTACGATTCTTACTTGGCGCACGCCGAGACGCTGGTTGGGATCCAGATGAGAGCGCCGCCTGGATTTGAGGGCGTCCGCAAGAACTACGCGAGAGAAGTTCTCCAGTGCGCTGTGGAGAACCGAGTTCTTCCAAACGTCACGCAGGAGGAGCCGGAGATCCTGGGAGAAACCAGCGAGATCAATCACAAAAACATCACTTTGGAGGATCAATCGCAAGCACTCACCTCAAAGAAGAGCTCCAATTCTTCTTCTTCTTCCGGCAGATCCATTGCCGTGCTGGTCACTTCGCTCAACCAAGCTCACCTCGAAGCGTTGCGAGCAACGTACTTAAACGCTGCCACCGAGGGAGGGATTCGAGTTAGCATCCATCAGCCAAGCCACGAAGAACATCAAAAAACCGGAGAAACTCACCACGATGAGAAGGCCTTGATGGAGATCTTTCTTCTCTCGCTGGCTGACACTCTCATCACCAGCCCTCTGTCGACGTTTGGCTACGCCGCGCAAGGATTGGCGCACCTCCGGCCCTGGCTCATGTGGATCCAACCCAATCCCGAGCACCCGGTGTGTACCAGGGTGTTCGCGTCGGATCCGTGCTTCCTAAACTTCGAGCCGTATAGCTGCGATTGCAATCGGACTAGAGAGGAGACGACGCTGGAGAATCTCATCCGGCACTGCGAGGAGGACGAGCCGAATCGAAGATGGGTGAAGATCGATAGCCGGAAAGAGAGAAACGCGAGCGACTAGCTAGAGATTCTTTTGGTGGATTCACCTAAGAAGATTTTGCGGCTCCTCTGCCCTGATTTTAGGGCTCTTCACACATCATAGCCAATGTCTGAAATGTGGCGGGAAAATTCTAGAACTGGCGGGAAAATGGAGAATGATGCTAGGTTTTAAGCGCTTGTGCTTGTGGCGTCTTCGCGGATGAAGATGTCCATCCAGGAGTTTGCGGCGAGCTCGGATGATGAGCGCATTCGCCAGTATCAAGCGCTTCAGTGCTCGCCGCCGCAAGGGGATGCGGATGATTGGGGGTTCTTCTTCGAGCAGGCGTGCTTGGATGCAAGCTCTCGAAATTCTCTCTTGTAAGTGTTTTATTTTGTTCTTCATTTGTGTGTGTGAATCGTGGGAGTTTGCGGCGCGCAGGGCATCAAGCGCATTGAGGTGCCTGGGTTTCTTCATTAGCAACTGGAGCTATGTGGAAAAACTTCCAGGTACCCTTCGCCATCCTTCTTTGTTTTAACTCTTTTTCTCTTGCCAAAACCTTAGACGATCTGGCCTCTACAATTCTGCTAACTTTCGTGAAGATCGCTACTGGCAGCAGCGAGAAGGTTCATACACATTTTTTTCATTTCATGGCCTCGTTTTTTTTAGTTTTTTTCTCTGACCAAGCTGCTTCCTTCTGTGTAGTTGCAACTTAAACTTAGCATGTGGTGCGTTTCAGTCCAGCAATTCAAGGCTAGTATCATCGAGAATCACTTTGAAAACCTCATCAACGCTGTAGTGTGTGCGGTCAACAACCATTTGGGTTCGCTTTCCGTGATCTTCGAGGCTCTACAGGTATGGCAAAAGTTTCATTTTAATTCTGTAACATTTTAGTTTCAGGCTCTTCGTTTCGTCGTTTTCATAGCACCAGCTAAAGCACGAGCGCATGCACACGTCTGGGCACCACCACTTTATACGAGGCTCGTTAGTATGGACAAAGCCGAGAGATGCATGGTTTCTCATGCCTTGGACGAGCTTCTAGTGTACATTCGGCCTTGCTCACTTTTGTTCTTAGAGGTACTCAGTTTGGTAGTGTTCCTTGCCTGACTTTGAAATTGTGAATTTGAAAAAGGTTTGTGCCAACGATATACGCACTATGTTGCTGGCAAAGCTGATGAAAATGGTAGCCGCCGGTGGTCAAGTTGCTCCAGCAGCCATCAGCGCTTGGAAAATGTTTATCACATTGCTCGGTAGCCATCTTATCAGCAATAAGTCACTAGCAAATGAGCTGATCAAAGTTCCGGTGCTCGCATTCACGAAGAACGAGGTTCAGGCCAGGATTGCAACTTATGTGCGTATGTCGATGTATGTCTGTGTTTTTCTAATACTTTTCCTCGTTGTCAGGACGCTTGGGAATCGTTTATTGATGCAGTTATACCGCCTGACGACGCTCAGCCGAAGCGCCTCAAGCTCCTGTTGACGCCTATTCTATCTGCTATCAAGAGCGAGCGTGTTCTATCAGTCAAGTCCCGATATTGCAAGACATGGATACATATCCTGGAAGTGCTCGGTACGCGTTTGAACGATCCTCGAAACTTCAAGCACAGCGTTGTTCCAGTCATTCAAGCTGTCGTAAATGTCGACCCGGTGCGAGATCCGTGGGTTTGGCGAAACTGCATTGCACTGGTGGAAACGTATGCTTCGACGAACTTATCATCGACACCAGACTTCACTCGACTTACGTTTGCAACGTCCGATATCCAAGGAGACCAGCCTCTGTTAGGAGAAGCAACGAAGTTGAAGCTCGAGCCATGGACTCTCAAAGGTGTTGAAGTTCTTCAAGAGGTAATGAGGCTTTTCTGGGACTGTGGAATGAAGAGCCTGGAGGAAAAGAGAGACTGGAGCCTGGCTGCTGCCGCCAGGCTATGGTACATCATCGTGAAGACCATGGTGGCGGCTCAACACAGTCCTGAGCAGCGAGACGCTGTACATTGGCTCCTGGGATTCGCCGTCGGGCTTTGCAACGAGGAAAACTCTCCGAGCATTTGGAAGACTTGGGCATGGAACTTCTTTAGAGTTCTTATCGACGAGCTCGGACCCATGGTTTTAGCATCGTCCTTCTACAGAACTCCATGGCAGCGCTCTCGTACTTTATTATCTTGGACGGAGCATACGACTGTGCTGGTACGTCCGGTTGTGCACATGCTGGCTGCCTGGATGGACATGCTTCTCCGGGAACAAGTAGAGACGCCAGAAGAGTCTATTCTTCACGGGACTGAAACGCTTCTCTGTGCTTTAAGAGCACCTTTCGACGTCCTTGGAAGTGTTCAAGAACAGGTGGCCTGCTTAAGTCTGCTGTATTCAGCAGCTGGCGGTAAAAAACCGAAGATGGCGAGCGCGTTCCTTCTGCAATGGTGGAACTCGGTAGCAGAGCAGCTGCTAAACTACGTCGATGAAACTAGTGATATTGGTGGTGAAGGGGAAACTGGTTGTATATGCGACGCCCTTCTTTTCCCCGTGAAGTGCTTTTTCCAACCCGGAGGAAGAGAACTCAGCTCTACGAGAACACTTTGGATCCAGCTTTATGAAGCAACTTGGAGAGTTTCGTCGTTGAAAAATCGCAGCTTCCTGCAAGAGCTTTATCGACGGCTGGTTAAGCTTATTGACGAACAAATCTCAAGTGGTCTAAGGTTGACAGGTCTCACCGAATTTCTCGAGCTTGCGGGATTTGGTGTTAGTCATGCCCTCAGACAAGCAGACGTCCACAAATCCAAGACCGGGAAAAGGAGAAGCTTTAATGTTGCTGATGGAGAAATGCGGGATGTTATCACTGTCGCAAACAGGTATGGTTTTATGCAACTTCGCATGCGGACTAACTTTCATCTTTTGCTGTTAATGCTTCAGGGTGCTGATGTTGGCAGGAACGGAGTGTCGCTCTACGATTAAAATCATAACAAGGTTAAGCTACTTCTAGTTCTTGATTCTTATGAGCTAAAGCTTGTCACAGGGTCCTGGAAGCACTGGC